CGCGCAGACTTGAACCCAGACTAGTTGAGGTTTTCTTTGGGTCTCAGGTCGTAAGGCGTCGGCAAGGGAGTTGGGCAGCTCGTGGGAGCACGGGAATCCTGAGGGTTCGGGCCTGACGTACGAGGAGAGACAAGAAGGGAGGGGGAGCCGCCAGAGAGCCAGGAGATGCAAGGCGGGGGTGTATAGCGCGGGCCAGGCAACGATCTAGCAACTGGGGAAGTCAGGCGACCTTGTAATCCGTGGTAGGGCCGGCCTCCACGCGACAAAGTGGCGCCATTGCCGGGGATGGGCTTTCTCCCACGGCCTCGACCGGCTCTAGAACTGCGGGGTGAGGGAGGACTGGCGTGACAGGTGGTGGAGGGTTTTTCTGAGTATCAACATCAAACTTCTTCGGGGTCTATCGACATCGACTTCTTCGGCATTTCCTTTTCTGCATCGACCTCTTCGTCACTTCGACGGTCTTCAACTACGGCTTGTTGGGTCTACGCGGCGATTTTTTCTGACATCATTACCTTTGACGACACCTTTTCTTTGAAGCGACATCAGGGTGCGGGTTCTATTGGGGTCTTGTTTTTTCAAGCGGGGAGGGATTGTTGGGTTGTTCGGGTGCTAGGGATTTGGGGTGTCGGGGTCTCTTGGTTTTTGCAGGTCCGTTCCGGCCCCGCTTGCGACTTCGGCTTCCTCGCTGCTTCAAAATCATCCTGGTCAGACGATTGCAGGAAACGTGATGTTTTTGTGTATGTTTCTTTTTAAAATCGACAAATTAAGAGGGTGAAACAGTTTGCTTGTGGGTTTTGGATGAGGGTGAAGAACAATCAAAGGGAGGGGAGAAGAACCGCACGGAAAAATAGTGTGAGTGGGTCCGCACGCGGGGGAGAGAGGAAAGGGGGGTTCAAGGGGGTCTAGGGACGCCATCGGGTTGGGATTCAAGAAGGCAGATCCGAAGGGAAAAGGGTCTCCCTAACATCCTCGACCCACACGGGTTGTGGACGTTGCCCGCACGGGAAGAAACTCCCGTGAGGGAACGGGCTTCTCGAGAGGGGGTTGGGTTTTCGGTTCTCGACCCACGAGGGTTGTGGACGGGGCCCGCGCGAGACGGTACTCCCCCAAGGGAGCGGGGCTCTCAAGCGGGAGCTGTCCGGGACTTGGGAGCGAGAAGGGTAGTGCTTCGGGTTCCAGGGCAAAGGGTCGAGGGAACTCAAACCATCATTGAGAACGAAAGGGGTAGGGGGCTAGCTCGAGAGGAAGAGGCGAGGGACACGTGGGGCGCCTTGCCGAGTCCTGGGTGGACCGGTGCCTTGCCAATTTCTCGGACTCGGACCTCGGGGATTATTGGGACTACGGAAACGAATTCTGAAAAAGGCGAGGACCACAAGGTACGTGTTTATAACAGCCAAATCTGAGAGACTCTTGTTCTAAAAAATTCTGAATCCCCGCCCTTTTTTGTGAAAGACCCCGATTACATTCTCCAATTCCAAGAGTGAAAAGAGTCAGATGGAGACGAATGAGAAGGAGGGAACGAAGTGAGAAGAGTTCGCGATGCAAGGAGGTGAATGAGAGGGAGTAGATACACTAGTAATCATTGATTGATAGACGGATAAAGTCCCGGGATCCGGGTAATTCCAAGCTCGAGGTGGGCCGAGTAGGGGCGTGGTTCCGGATAGGCTAACTTAGGACTAGGGGTCGGTTCGGTGGGGGACATAGGGCATGGGTGTGTGACTTCGGTCCAACTTTGAAGAGGGGGTTGCCACCCTTCTTTGGGGATAACCTGTGTTCGCGGCTAGTCTCTATACTTGGAAGTGGGAGGACCTCTCAACGGGGGAGGACAGGAAGGTAGCCGAGTGAGACGACGTTCCTTCTCTGGTCCATTTGATCCTGCTGGGCTCACAGGCACCTTCTCCTCGCAGGATAGGGATAGTCTCTCGAGTGGCCAAGAGTAAAGGTGACAAACATGACCTTCTTTGAGTAGAGTGAATGAGCTTAGAGGCGATCCCGAAAGGGAATAGTGTAAGTAGTTACGGTGGGGTCGACGTGTGGTGCTATACCTTTCGTCTGTGGACGTGAGACTTCGACGTCGCCATTTATGTAGAGGAAGGGCAAGATCAAGGGGAAAATTTCCTCCGCGGATGGGAGGAGGCGGTTAATCACTCTCGTATGGAAAGAGGGGAGCTGTGAGGGTACGGGTTTAGATATTTCTACTCTCTGGGGTACCGAACTTATCCTTGGGGGGGTCAACCTGCGCCAGTGATTCCGGACGCCTATCTCGACGGGTTGGACGGGTGGAGAGAATTGGTAGCGATCATAGAGGAGATAGTGGGGAGCCTATGAGCCTAGGGGTTTTGGAATTTGAGCCGGCGGGCATTAGCATGGGTGGTTGTGGAGGAGTAGATGTGTGGTGTTACAACTTCTTTTTATGGATCCGGGATTTTGACATTGCCCTCTATGTGGAAGAAGGGACGGATCAAGGAGAAGGCTTTCTAAGTAGTTGGGAGGAGGTTGTTGGCCTCGCGCAACTAGAGAGGGAACTTCTAGGGAATTACGGTATCCGGTACTTCTACACGTTAGGTTACCGAACCTTCCGACGAGGGGGGTGACCCGCCCCGACTATACCGGAGGCCTATCTCGACGGGTCAGACGGCTGGAAAGTGTTAGTAGAGACTATCAAGAGGATAGTCCAAGGTCAGGATTGTGGAGACGACTAGTGACGGTGAGGTTCGAATCGAAAAGGCCAACCTCGACAAGGAAAGGGAGTGCTTCAGTGTCCCTTTGGATCATCGGACGGAGAGATATTTAGCAGGGCACGAGAAAGGCCTAGAGCTCAACAAAGGGGTCTTTCTCTGGGCATGATTTGCTGTAGGAATTTGGGAAGGAGATCAGTGAGCCAGAAATAGACCTAGGAACGGAGTAAAGGCCCGACGAGCGTCAGTTCGTGCGGAGGGCATGATCTACTTGGGTCAGGAGGCCTGGGTGGAGTACGTTAACCACTGGGCATTAGGGTGATATCGGGCGGACCACTGGGAGGTATGCGTGGGGCCTATTCTGAGGCGGATCTTCGAGGAGGTACCCCTTCGACACAGTCTGCCGTTCCGCTTGCGAGTAACTTGTGCTCGGGATGAGGAATATCCTCGTGCTACGGGTTGCGTCCAGGCTATATTTCCATCTTACGCCTTTAGGCAAGTGTCTGGGGAAGGGGCCGCGTACGAAAAAGTCGTGAGGTCTATAAGGCGGGAGAGAAGGAGGGGGCTGTCCTTTCGCTCGCTTCATTGGTTCTACTCCTATTGTGTAGACAACCCAGTGCCATACGGAGTTAGGGCCGATCGAATTCGAGAAAGGATCTCTATAGAATCGAGGTGAGACCGTGAGGGCGGGATAGACTACCGCTACCAAAGGGTATTTAGAGCAGTGTCTGCCCCGCGAACGTGACCGGCACCGGTCACCAACCCGTGACCGGCCGGTCACCGGGCCTAAATCCCGTGAACGGCCGTTCACGGGAGCCATTCACGAGGTTTACGCCCGCGGGGGCGGTGGTGCAGTCAGGATGAGGGTGGGAGGGGGGTGGTGCGGGGCCCTTCTACAGCCCCGTACCTTCAAATCACAAAAAAAAAAAAGAAAAAAAA